GTACCGAAGACAATGCCGGTTGAGGGCGGAGGCGAAGCGGTCCACGTGATGGGGCCCGAAGAGGTAGTCGAGGAGGCGGAACAGGGGCGGGTTGAGTTGCCAGTCTTCGGAATCGCGTAGTCGGGACAAAGTGTCCGGAAAACGTTGTCGGCCGTGGGGATCCAGCGGGGTTGGAACACGATCTGGGCGGTATCCAGAATGTAGAACAACTGCTGTAATCTCTTGTAAAGTGGATCGACATTGGACTTGAACGATCGCAGCAGGTGGTAGACCACTTGGGAGTCTGTCATCAAAAGCACATGTCGGCCCTGGAGCCGGCTCAGAAAGGAGCGGACGGCTCGGATCACCGCTTTGAGCTCCAGCACGTTGATGTGCAGGAGCCGTTCGGTATGGGACCAGAACCCCCGTGCCAAGGCTGGGGCTGCGTGGGGCTGAGCCAAGGGCATTGGATCTGTCAACTCCGCCCCCCAACCCAGAAGGGAGGCATCGGTGGCGAGCACGGCCTGATGCGGGGGATGGAGGAAGGGGGCCGATTGAAAGTGGGCCGGTAGCCGCTGCCAGAATTGCATCTCGCGTAGGGCTGCCCAGGGAAGGCGGACCATGCTGCGCCACGTAGTCTTGGTGGCCAAGGCCTGGTGGAGATTCCGCTGAAAGAAACGGGCGGGCTTCACTGCCAAGGCCAAAAACTGAACTTGTCCCAGGAAGCGGGCGAGGAGCTTGGCCTTGAGGCACCGGGCTTGACGGTAAGTGATGGCCAGCAGGGTCGTGGCCTGGACTCGAATTTGATCGACCTTCGGGGGAGGGACCGCCAAGGTGGCTGACCTGGAGTTGACCACAAAGCCCAGGTGGGACAACTCCTGGGTAGGGAGGAGCGTCGATTTGGACGGCTTGAGCTGCAAGCCCAGATCGTGCAGGGCGGGCTGCAAATGGAGAGCAAAACGACGGAGATCCCGGCTGGAACGATGCACCGCCAGGAAATCGTCGAGGTAGAGCAGCAGAAAAATTGCCAGATTGGTGCGCCAGATGGCAGCGAGACCCGGCCACCACGAGTGGGGCTGCCGGGGCACGCTGAGCCGGGGGGCACGCAAAAAACGGACCAGCACTGCCACCACTTTCGAAAACACGTAGGCGGACGACTTCAAACCAAAGGGGAGCACCGGGATCTCCCAAAGGAGGCCGTTCACCCGTATGGTACAATAGCGCACATGCACTGGGTGTAAGGCCACATGAAAGTAGGCATCGGCAATATCCCAAGCAACCATATAATCGCCCGGTTGCATGCCAAATTCCAGCTCGCACAAGGAGGCCATCCATAATCGGCGATCCGCGATGAACGCATTGAGAAGCCGGAGATCAACAATCAGGTGCTTGGAGCCATCGGGCTTCGGGAGCAGAAATGCCCGGCTGACATGTGAAGAATAGGAAGCCGGCCGTAAGGCACCAAGCCGCAAGTATTTCTCCAAAGTGGCCTCCCAAATGGGCAGATCGTCGCCTTGAAACACAGAATTGCCTATATCGAACGGGGCAGGAGGGCGAGAGAAAGGCAGTCGAAAACCCTCGTTGATCCAAGAGAGGATGGTGAGATTGGCGCCGATCCACCGCCAAGCCGCAATGGCATACCTCACACGCCGGTAAGGGAAGTTCCGCGGATCGATCCGAAGCTTCCTCCACAAGGAGCGGGTCCGCTTGGCTGCCAGGGCCGGGCTGGTGCCGGGGAAGCGCGGCATGATCGGTGGCGGCGGCAGGTGGGGCTGGAGGAGGCGGCGGAGCCGCAGCCAGAGGGGCCTGCGCACGGCCAGTAGGGGCCTTGGGGCCCAGCAGTTCGAGCGGGGGAGCGTCGGGGAGGACGAGGTCCCGGTCGTACGCCACGTCAGCGGGAGGAAGGGGGCCCAAGGCCGGTAACTGGGCGCCCGAAGAGGACGCCGCGCCCGCGTCTGGAGTCGGCGGGGCGGGAGTCGGGGCCGCCCGTTGGGGGACGGCCGTCGCGCGCCGCCGGACGGTGTACCGCGGGGCCATCAATTGGAGGCGCTGGGGGCACCTCCGCCGAAGTTGCATCCGCGGCCACCGGATCCGCGACCGCCGCGGCGTCCGCGCCCGCGCTGGCCACCGCGGGGGCGGCCTTCGTGTGAAGAGGCAGCGCGGGCGGCGGCCTGCTTCTGGACGGCGGCCACGACCTTGTCGGCGATGCGGCGGTCAAAGTCGACGATTTCTTCGGGAACGGCGGTGTAGTGCGCCCCGGACAGGCGGAGCTGCGTTGAGAAGGCGCCGGCGATGTCGCCGCCGTGCTTCGCGCGCAATTCATGCACGTGCACGTTGCAAAGGGCGCCTTGAAGCACGGCGTGGAGGGCGTCGACGATGCCTTGAAGTTGGCGGCAGGAGTCGGGGGAAAAGTCCTCGGACGACGTAATCTGGAGGAGGGTGGCGACGATGTCGAAGAGGTAGGAGGTGACGGGGGCCCAGGCGCAGAGCTCTTGGAAGAAACCGCTGCCGGCGCCCAGGTTGGCGGCCAGTTCTTGGCCCCAAGCCGTAGAGGAGATGGGGAAGGGGGCGCCGGCCTTGTTGGCAGAAGGGGGCCGCGGAATGGGGTTCCCCGCGAAGTGGGACAACTCCTCCTTGGTGCGAATGGCGTGGGCGGCGACCTCCTCCGCCCGATCGCCGGTATACCGAATGCAGAGATCCCGCAGCGTCGTCAAGAGCGCTGCGTCGTCCCGCTGGACTTGACGGAGGCGCTCCTCCTCCGCAGCGGCAGCAATGGCCGCGGGATCGGCGGGGGGCTGCGCGGGAGCGAGTTCCCCGCGGAGTGCTTGGACTTGCGCTTCAAGGGCGGCCAAGCGAGCAGCAGGATCGCCCATCAAGGGGTGGACCACAGACCAGCGGGGTCTGGATTGCTATCACGATCGCAGATCGTGATCGATTGCTTTCCTTAGCTAGGAAACCGAGCGCGGAGCTCGGAGGAGAGCGCTTGACGCGTGACGGCGAAGCGAAAAACGAGATAGCCACAAGCTCGTTTCGCCAACCTTAAGTCCCAAGTTCCCCATTTGCCCAGATCACTGTGAACCAGTTTTTCACTGGTGCAAACAGCCGCTCAGTTCGGTTCCTGGGCTTCATAACCAACCCCGCCCGGTTCGCCCAGGCGCTGCCCATAACTTGACCACAACTTTAAGAATAGTGGCAAACTCTTTCTCACTGAGCCTTGGCTTTCCAAGCTTGAGAACCGGCAGCGCCATCCATCTAACTCCAAGTGCGCCAAGTACTAAAACCTTTGCTGGCCGTTCAAAGGGTTCCCACCCAACGGCCCAGTACCCGATTTAAACCTATTCACTGCATTGCATTTCGTAAATCTCGCTACAATTGGTGGGTAGGGGGGTACACATACGACTCTTTGGTCATGCACTCGCCTGTCCTTTCGAAGCTCCCCACCTTCGAAGGCCAAGTCCAGTTTGGGTGGCGGCATGGCAGCGCCTGGGGGCGCCCTCGTGCGCATCGTCCTCCCCTGGGCGTTCGCCTCCGACCCCCCCCGGTGCCGATGCCACCTGTTCGGCTGGGCCCTGCGCTGCGCCGCCCGCCCGTGGGGCCCCGAAGCGCTGACGATCGTCGTCGCCGCGGCCGCGGATGCACAGCGCCATCCCGCGCGCCTTGCGGCGTTGCTAGAGGACGTGCTGAGCTACCCGAAGGATCCGATGCGGGAGGCGATCCGATCGGCAGCCGGCGGGGTGGCATGCGTCGGGGAGTGGAGGCCGGAATCATCGGAATGGGGATCGTGGGAGGGGCGGGGGCGGGAGGAGGGGGGGGGTGAGGCGTGGATTTGGCTGGGAGGAGGGGAGGGGTCGCCGAGGGTGTGTGGGGTGGATGGGGTGGCTGCCGGGCGGCTGAGGGACGTGCAGGTGACCGTGTGTGAGGAATTTGGTCGTTGTAGGAAGGGCATGCCTGCAGTGACTCCGCTTGCAGAAGTTGAGAACGCGTGAGGGTCTCCTCCATGCTTGTTGTGCATGCTGACATGAACACATTGCGAGGATTCGCTCTGCCTAGTCGCAATGACACTCCAGGGGAGGCGATGGTGCAAGTTCGCGTTGATTGTGTTGCTCAAAGTATGGCAAGTAGCTGCCCAATTGTACCCATTTGACGACATTAATTGCTGCTTCATTTCCACGATAGTGTGTCCTTGATGTGTTTTTGTCTGTGGGACAGGTCGTGCTTCACGAGCTTCCCATATTAGGATTGTGTCGGTACCCAAAAACAGCTGTGGACATATCTGTGGCTGGTCAGCCTATGGTTGACTCAGGTATGTCTTTCTGTTGTCCATGATTCCAACAATTCAATTATTGAAATTTTCCACTATTTGCATAGCTTTTGAACAAAAACTTGGGTAGTGGATGAAGAGTGTTGTGGCAAGATGTGGGATGGGCTATCCGCAGTTCATTTATTCCCCTGGATGAACAATTGTACAGCACTTGAATGGAACAACTGTTAACACCACAGGACGACCTGAGACCACTGAACATGCGTGTCACTGTAGCAATTCTACTTATGCAGTTTCGTCTACACTGTAGTCTAAAGTTTATGGTTTTGATACAAGCTTCCAGCTCGTGTTGTGAGCATTGTTGTTGCTGACTACCTGCCTTCAGAAGGGTTGCTTTCACATCTAGAGGAAATCACTATCGTTGATGTTCCTCACAGCGCTGTCACAGCTGATCCACCTGCCAGTTTGGGACGTGTTATATGTGTCAATTGCTGGGTAGATCCCAACATGTCATCTCCCTGCATGTCCTCAATATCATTTGTTGCCAGTTCTGCCACCAAATCGTGGCATGTGCGAATTGAATGCATTTCCTGATGATCTCCTCGCTGGTTGCAGTTTAGCCTTCACACCACTGGAAGCTGCAGTCTTCCTCATCCGATGTGCGCCTCTGTTGCAGCACCAATTGAGAATCCTGTTGCCAGATGGAAATCGTCTCTCATGGGCTGGGCAGTCGCAGATTTTCAAGCTGGGCACTGCATTTATGTCCAAATTCATGTTTTCCAGAGAAAACGTGCATGAGAGATGGCTGATGGCAACAGGTACAAAGCTGGCTCCAGTTTCTCCTGGAATCCAAGTCTGTCATTTGTATTGTTGTGCATCTAACTCTGTTTAGTCTTTGTGATCTCACTTATTCTGTTTGTATTCAGTATTTTCAAGCAGGACCGGAGGTGCAAGCAGCCTTATAGAGTAGTTTTCAGTGTCAATTCTGTCAGCAGGCCCCTCGGGCCACATGTATTTATTGTTTATGTATTTAGCGTTTACCGTTATGTATTTGCTATATGTTATGCTGAGTGTGTATGTGAAATCATCCTTAAACGAATGAGGCAGACCTAATACACAGTTTGCCTTGCCTATAATGGTAGCAAAATGAAATAATGTTAAGAGTCATCTCCTGTCCAGGTACTTGTGCAGAATGCCCATCTTTCTAGGGCTTCTGTGCTGAATTTTGCACGATTTGCTGATAGTGAAGACAGTACAGGCTGGGTGTACAAGGTGTGCTCTATGTCACACAATTCTGCATGTGGGCAACATTATGGCCTGGCAACTGAACCCAAAGGTGCAGATAAAGGATCCCATATTTTGGGGCACAATTAAGCCACCATGCTGGTTGGTACCCACTTTCCGATCTTTGTCAGCATTTATCTAGGATGATCGTTAGATAATCTGCTGTGTGAAGCTACAGAGTGTGTATCTTGTGTGGTCTGTTCTTGGCATCAGTTGAGCATTTATCGGCCAAATGGCTAATATTGTGTGTTACAAATTACCCAAGACAACTGCTTGTTTTTAATTTCTATTGCAGCTCTGCTCCCCAATATAGGCACATCGTGTCACATTCTAGTTCTTACAGATGAGATGTGGATCTCTTGTGCGCCAGGCCGTCAAATCCAGTCAAGGATAGCTTGGCAGGGTCCAACAGGCAATGTTGGGGACGTTGTGCCTGGAGACTTTGAGGGTGCAAGTGAGGTGCTGCTGCTTTGTTGTAGCAGGGCCTTTGCCCTTCTGGTGCAGCAGGCATTGGGATTGGTGGTGGGTGTGCAGATTCTGCGAAACAGATATGCGATCTCCGATTGGCTGGCTTGCTTTGGCTCATGGGTCTTCAGGGACTGGATGGAGGAGCAGATCACATGGTAGGAGAGCTGGACGCGTTGCACGAGAGAATCCCTTTGATGTGTGCAGTACTTTACATATGCATGCACAACATGTGGAATCAGTTTTGGGTGGGGTGCATATGTAGGCAACAGTGGGCGTGTTGTTCAGCCAGTATGGTGTGTTCAGATATTGATCACTGGAGGCACTAGTGTGCATGTGTTTTGACTGTCAATTATGAGTCAGTACTGGCACAGGGTTTATGTGTTTTTCAGTCAGCAATTGGCCAGCTTCCCATCTGCCGCCTCCGTAGGCGTGCAAGGCTTTCCACATCTTGCCGGGATGCTCCTGCATTCACAAGCGTATTCACAGTGATGTTGGTTCAGTGTTGATTCACCAATTATACACATCTAGTCAGTTCCACTGGTTGGCCAATATCACCTGGCACACAGAAAAGGAGCAATCTGTCATACCTGATAATGTAGTATGTGGAGACTTTCACCAGTTTATGACATTGCTGTCTGTTGCATGCAGGTTAGCAGGTGCCCCAGGTGGCATCAAGCTGCATCGCCAGCTCAGCAATGCATACAAGTCTATTGCTCTTGACACCCTCACTACAGCAATACCTGCATACACCATATTGGGACACTACATGCCCCACATTCTGAGCCTAATCTCTGTTGCATCCATCGCCCTTGGGCTGAATTTTGGCCTCTGCCTTGCCAGCGATCTCCTGTACATTGCAGCGATCCCGATTAGCCTCATGTACTGTGCGATCTCGTTGGTGCACAATGTGCAGAGGAGGTGTCTGGGATTGACATGGCAACTATTGCGGGGTCAGCATGCAATAACCAAGAGGAAATTGAAACAGAGAAGGCAGCAGAGGGCTGAACGATCTGAAACAGTTGCTGGCAGCTGCCTGGCACAGGATGGGCATGTCACATTGGGTATGGACAAGGAACAAAAGGTATAGATGGCTGTCCACGCAGTGGTTATGATGGGACAACACTGCATTACCTGTGCGGACAACTTGGCAATTTGTGAATTGTTGACCAATAGCTATACTTTGAAGAACAATGTATGAGGCGATCAGTGTGGAGCTATTTACTGCCAAATTGTTGAGCACTCCCTTCTTTGCAGCACCGGTGTGGGACATGAGGCTTTGTTACTTGAGGTTCCCAAGAATGTAGAAATCGATTCCATTCATGCAATTAGGGCCAGGAAGCTGAAGTACACAACCATTCATGTTTGGAGTGCTGTTGTGATTGCATTCTTTTTGAATTGTGAGCCTGTCCATTGAGCAGTTATGTTTCAGAGGACATTGATGTGGGCTATGCACGAAGGGAGCAGTGCACGTGCTTGTCAAAGCTGATTTCTGCATGGCAAGCAGGAACTATGATTGGCAGTGGTGCCTTTGCAGCACCAAGAGCAATAACACTTTGGAAACAAACAGTTGCAGATATGAGCAACGTCGCTCCTAGGTGCTGAAGCGGCGAGTTGTCATAGTTGACAGGTGATATGATGCAACTGCAGCAATGCTGGGATTCCAAGAATTGGTATGAATGACTTTGATCTTGGATATCATTGCTCTTTTGCAATCTGCTTGGCACCCACTCTATTGAATATAACTATAACTTCTTTATTTACTGGGTTGACTATTCGCATATTGATTTGTACATCAAGTATGTTTGTGCACTGGTTCATTTTCTCCTAGCTCTCAAAGAATTGTGGGCTGGCTTGTCCAGGATGAAGAGATATTAGTGGAGCATCTCATTGTGGGTGTTCTGTTGTTCACGCCATTGCTGGGCCTGCTCCCCACGACGCTTGTGTTCTACACATTCTTTGCAGCCCTCCACTGTGGAGTCGTAGCCGCACGTGGATCGCTGTGGTTGCTGTGTGCTGCCCTGGACGTGAATCCAGCTTTTTGTCTCTTCCTGAGGCTCATCCGTCCTGCTTTGTTCCCAGGCACGCACACTGGCCTCAAGCAAGACAGCAACCTGTGATAGCACATTTTCTCGTTGTTAGCGACTGTCTGTGTTTCTGTCTGCCTGCCTGTCTGTCTGTGAAGAGTGTGTGCACGGCGTTGTCCGATTCGCCGTGTTCCAACATGATGCAGTGCAAGTAAGGGCCAGTTGTTGTTTCTTTTGGCCTGTGCAACTTCAGACTGATTTGATGTACTTGTCCAACTCCTGGCATCTGTCTGTTTACGTTTGCTTCATGAAGCAACGCCTTTGCGTCTGCAACTTTGCCAGTTCAGAGACACCATGTCATGCTGAAAAACCGGTCTGCAGCTGTTTCTCACCATTGAAGTTGATTCGTGCAATTGATTCTGCTAGCCAGATGTGGTGGCAAAGTGCACATGGGAGCCAGGGCTAAGGTTGCTGGTTGATTTTATGGATGGTGGACTGCCGCAGATGCTGTTACTCTCAAGGCATTGGACTACACAATTGCCCATCCACGTGTTTGTAAACCTATCTGTGGGGATGCAAATTGTGGCCATGAAGCGTGTTCAACAATGGGCAGCCTTGTCGTGCGATACTACAGCATCAGCTGTGTGCCTTGCCGATGGCCATCCATCTTGTGCCCCATCCAGCAGCACCAGTGGACGTCGCTGTGGCGTGGCGTGGCTGCAGCTGCAAAGGATGTGCTGGGAAGCCGAGTAATTGGATTGAAGCCATGATGGTCGCACACACGGAGTATGGAAATTTCAGTGGCCTGGGGTCAGCAACTGGATATGTACGAGAACACAGCGTGTTGATTTTGTTATGCTTAGTGTCAAAGGGATGGCGACAGATGAAGAGAGGGGAACCTATGTCTCTAAGGACTGAGCATCATTGCAACGAAATCGACATAAGCTAAGAATGGGCCTAAACCGCCATAATGGCTTGTTTAAAACCTTCCCCAAGCGTTTTCGATATTTACGGACGACACTATGTTGCGGGTCACATGTATCGGCGTTGAATGGGTCTGCCCAGCTTGCTCCACGCAACTCTTGGTGTCCCCGTGTGGTCGCTCGACTGCTGGCCGGACATCTCTTCTTCTCACCCCCTATCATGGCCTGAGCATGACTCCATGCGTCTGCTCTGAAGTGCGATCAGCTACGAGCACCATCATGCCAAGCCGTGTGCCCATTGTTAAAGTACATGCCCCTTAGTGATCGCCCCGAAGGACCCATAGATCACAGGCTGAACTTAATCTTTGCTCTATTAAAACTCACTTTGCTTTGAGAGTTTGGGATCATCATGTTGAACTGAACAAATAACCCATTGCTTAAATTGATGATCAATCATAATCAACATCGTCAAGAAATCAATCCTGATTGAGCAACATCACTTCATTTTCAAATGCTCAGTCCACATGCATGACCCTTTCAACCCAATATACCCAACCATCACACATGGCTTGAGAAACCTACACAACACTTGCTACCACTTTTCCACCTCTTGCCAAATGCAATGTTGCCCTTTGCACCACACCTTGTTTTGAATCTAAAGATCCATCATTTGACAATTCAATTCTGATCCCTTTGATCCTCCTTATCAACACTGGATCACTTCAGAATATTCTCTAAATCCGCCAGATGAATCTTCACCCTCGCCTAAACACATTTGCTCATGGGGCCCTAGTCCGAATTCGGACTCCTTCTTGGTGCTCCAGTACTTAAGGTCTTCTAGGAGGGAGGCCCTATTGGGCCCCCGGGCCCAAGAACGAGGGGGTGCGGGCGGTTGGCACTGTTGTCAAATGGACCAGCGGCCCCCCTCTTTTATCCTCCGCCTGTGCCCCATAACACCACTCCCTAACACTATCACAACATCCCTTACACCACAACACCCCATGCCTTATCCCATAGAACTTTCCCTTACACCATTTCCTTCTAAATACACTTCCTATTGAACTACCCGGTTCCAACGCCCTACCACACTGCGAACTCACATATTGCACCTATAACATTCCCCCTTCCCGTCAGAATCCACCACACTCGCCAGAATTCACCATATGCATTTTCTAGTGGCACTACCCCATTACTTCATCACCATTTTCCCTTACCCCATGCACAACACCAGCCACCAACGTACTTTACACCCTATTCCTCTTTTCACACTTCTTTCACGGCGCCCACAGGACCCCACAGCCTTCTCACCCGTTGCCAAGGGTGGCAGTACGGTGACACGCCCTTATCATAGTCCGTCACACCTTTGCCACTATCCTTATGTAATCCCATGGCGCACCGCGCCCAACGACTCCCTGCCACCAAGTTCACAGCTATGTCCCAGCGTGTGTGACCCCATGTCATGTCACACTCGCCTATGATGATGAAAATTAGATGATTGATCATTATCCTAAATGACTTAATGAGTTTAATGATCTAAATGGATGTCATTTAAGCATAACATACCAAAATTCATCAGAATCGTGCAAGCAACCCAATGATCATGTTTTCATCGGCAAATTATATCATCCATATTATCGAAATCATCAAAACTACTGGTCAAATCATCTGAACATCAATTGACCGATTGTGTCATTGTGCATACCCCAAGTTTTGTCTCAATGGGGAGCTAGTCACCGTATGCATCATATTGTTGTTTTTTCACTTGTGCAGCAATGCCAATTTGTTGTCCACATCATCCACACATTAGTCACCATGGTGACTATACCATAATTTAACACCATGCAAAGCACATCGTACAGCAATCTTGGCCGGGGAATGTAGGTGCTTGCCGTAGCACTGAACATTACAACTGTAATAGGGAGCCGACGCGTGTTTCCGCTCCAGGGGTCGGCCGGTGCTCATTAAGCGCAACTCGTAGGACACCGCCACCACGGGCTGGACACCATTTGCTTTGCCTGCGCTTGGCGTCGAAGCCACCTTATCAACCCCTCGTTGGACCCTGCAAAAGGCATCACAAGCTTGCTGAAGCGCTTGAGCGCCCCGGCATTGGCCCATCGGCCTAATGGCATTGCACCCCGCGCCAAAATTAAACAAGACTGCACATCTCCACAGCCAGCAAGGAGTATTTTCCGCCCAGGCCCAACCCGTGTTCAACTGCACATTCTACGCTGTCAACTAGTGGGGAACAGCACACTGCTCGCCTGCGGCTCGTGGGCGCACACCTCCCCAACCCCCACCCCCGCCCACCCACTTACCCCACCCCTCCAGAACCTCAGGCCTTGGATTCCTTCTGCAAGCCGTTGTTTTGTAGCTGGCCGTGGTATTCTGTTGTTGTTCGCTACACGTCAGCCCGCAGGTGTGGTTTTCCGTTCCTTCCGTTTTACATGATCTGGCGGCCACCGGTTGCTGTGAACTAACGGGAACAGTCCGCGATCGGCTGATAGTACCTACACCAGTGTAGGTACCAAGGTACCTACACTGGAAAGTAAATGCATGGTGCATGAGTCTTGCTGCTAGCCATCCTTGATCACATTCTTAGGCCGTGTCAGCCCTACAAATGTACGGATAACAACGCAGTTCTCAGCTGAGCGCTTTGTGCCGCCCAATGACCGATTGTCGTTTCTTCAAGATGAGCTTCATCTGGATGCGTTGGCACGGCTGGATAACCCATTTTGAACACGCTGTTCCTGGATGGCCACGGTGATAAAAGAGCCATGTTTTGTTTCATTCAAGCCTCATGCCTACTTGAGGATCTTTTGAGCGATCAACGATATTGTTGAGGTCCGCCAGTGTGCCTAAGGCAATTGATCAATCGTTGCACTGTGGTCATTGCAATAGTGCACGCCTGGAGCTATTCCGGCAAAGCACTGTGTTCCAGGCGTACACTATAAGCTTTAATTGTCAATTGACAATAGAAAGCATGCAATTATTCTACTTCATGATGACATAAGTCATCGACCGCCTCTGTGATAGTTCCAAATTCAATTTCGGCAACTTATCGATTCATACCAAAAAGTTTACAAACTAGCTAGTGCACATAGGCTCGAGCCTACGAGCTCTACCATTGTTTTACTCGAGCTCGTAGAGTCTAATGGGACGAATTTTCTTCACTCATTACCATTATAAATGCTTACAATTGCCTAAGAATAGACTCATTCGAATTTGTTTTGTACTTCCTCTGTCCCATATTAATTGTCGTCCATTTCAAAGAGAAGTATCGCGACAAAACCCGCATCGGAATTAGAAAAAAAGAAGGCTAAAATCGAAAAGTTGGGGTCTGCGAAACCCTAACTAATAACTCAGAAACCACTTTCAGCATTGGGCGAAAGAAAATTTCGACCATTTTTGAGAAAAAAACCCAGGTTCGCTGGTAGAAGATCCTTGCCTCTCAAACCTGTCAAATCCACAATGCTCTTCGGATTGGCTTACTTTTTGGATCTTATAAACAAATATCATGGACACAACTTTGCAAGAAATTTGTCAAAAAAATTTGGAGTTTTCATGACGAAGATATAAATCAAAGGCCATAGACGAATAACAAGAATAGAGGAAGTATTAATACTTCCAAATATTTGGAGTATGATGGTGCTGGACTCACCTCAATCTGAATTAATATAAATAAAAAAGCCTTTCTGGCTGCGGCTGCCCAAGCAAAATAGTTTTGCATGCATTTGACAAGTAATTTGCACATCCCTTGTCTGACAGTGCTCCACAGGTGCTGGGTGTATCAAATTTGACTGCCATCACTAGTATTCTAGTGGCAATACGTCTTTTGCTCCTTCGAAGCCATCTCTAAATTATGCCACCCGCGTCCGCCAGTGGCTCTCGCCACCGGTGGCGCTGTTGGTGCTTGTCCATTCTGCAAAAGGGATTCCGTGCAGTCCTTGTCAAGGAATGCACAAGGCCACCGTCCAATCCTTGCATTTTCCGGCTAATATTTCGTGCAAGCTAACGTGATGAGCTTTGTGCTGCTGTTTTGTTACATGTATGCTCATTCCCTCTGGCCACATGGCCGCCATGTGGCGGCCTTTCTTTGCTTTAGCAGGACAGGCTCAAATTGAGATATTGGCTCTAATCGGCAATGTCCAGCCTTTGCATTCTTTTCCAAAGCTCTGTTTCATCGCTCGGGAGGAGAATGAGCTTTCTGCACTGATTCCTTTGATGCATTAAACGGGGCAAATTTTACCCTCATTTTGCAAGTCTGGGACTTGTTGAGCGCCGAGTAGATGATGTGATTTCAAGACTACATCACATCTGCATTATCATTTGAGTTAACCTTACAACAATGGCCATTGAATGTTTTGGTTGTTTCTGCTTGGAGTTTAGTCAAGCGGGAATGTTGAACATCAGAAACAAGCTGTCTCTAAGCTACAATGCTGGGCTGCAGAAAACCAACGGTTTAATGACGGCAATTCGTTTGGAGTAGGCTATTACTTTGGGTCTTGCGACTTTCGCCACCATCATCATCAATGAGGACACAAATACAGAGGATCCCCTCACATTTATTCTTGCACGGGCCTCTCTGAATGCTCGCTCTCTTCATGCTTCGTTTTCTACCCGGATTTGCGGTATCCTGATCCTTTCTCCCTTGGGTGACGTAGCCCTCCTCTCTGTCTACGTACCATTTGAAGGGAATCAGCTCCTTCCTGAACTAGACTCTGCACTTCAGCGTGTTCAGAGAGCCACTCCTTTCTACGCCCTTGGTCTGGACACAAACGGCCACAGTTCGTGGTGGGGACCTCCCCATCAACGTTATAATAAAAATGGACGATTAATTGAAGAATTCG